CAAACTCCATAGAGGGTTTAATCCAATCCTGTCAGCCGGTGAAAGGTTATTCAAACATAGCTCCTTGGCTAACAGTCCTGAACCAATCTGGCTTTCAGTGGATGATCCTAAATTTCCAGATTTCTCTGAGGTTCCTGCTGTCGATTCTTATTTTGATGATCTTTGGCACAAAACAGAAAAAAGGCTCTCTGGTAAAGTATTCAAATCCAACAGTAAATGAAGGGATTAGAAGATTTATCCAAATTCCTGCATCAAACTATACATCTTTGCTCTGCTCTCATCTTTCTTTTTTTTTAAATCAAGTGTTTAAAAGAGAAAGTTTGTTGTGTTTATGGAGCGAAAGTACAGGAACTTCTTGGTTTTGATTTAATAATTCAGGTATTTGAATGGCATGTTTCCGACCTGTGAGTCAGTGCGCTCCAAGGTAAGCCACGTGCACAGAGACCGCTCGCGGCCGAGCACACCAACCTGGACGAAAACCTCACACTTTGAGGTTTCTGATTAATAAGGTAACATTAAGTTGGTCACTGACAGTAACAGGGTTTATACAGGAATGAATAACTCTAATTTAATGCTTTTTATTGCTCTGAGAAATTATTTTAATGCCATCAAGAGGAATCCATAAATCTCTCATATTTCGTCATCTTTACCATTGACAGGCTGCATCCACGTCCCAAATTCCTGGTTTTCCAGCCACTTTTGTTGAAATTTGCACTTTTTCCTGCCTCGGGCTTCTTTTCCGAAAATACAGCTTTTAGATCAAAGGGAGACAGTTCAGCGCAAACATATTGCGATATAATATATCAGCATATATATATATACATTTTTTTATAAACATTTTTTTTTTTTTTATAAAGCATTATTAATGACAAATATTCAAATGTAATCAAATTTAATGCCAATTAAGGCCTTAATTTAAAAATTATAATTGAATGAGTTTTAATGATTTTTAATGATCCGTGGAAACCCTGAGAAAGGCGATCAGATTTCTGCAATCTAATCTGGGGAAACTTCCAGCTTGTAGATGAAAATAAATATACATCATGAAAATTAAAATAGGAAATGGGAAAAGTGATGCTTTCATCCATTTTTACATATTAATATTTAGACAAAAAAAATCAAGTGTAAGAATAACAGCGAAACTACTTATAACTCTACTTAAAATAACTGACTATGATGATATAAACTAAAGGTCATTGATCAGTTGTAAAAACATCTTTAAATGAACCATTGTTGATCCCTGGAGACCCATCAAATCAGATCAGCTCGTTACCGGGAGTTTTCAATCATTCTGTTTGATTTTATCCGAGTCTATTTTCTCATAGCAGCTGCAGCCAAAGGTCTGATTTACTATTTGTTGATTAGCTTGGTTTATGTTACATTTCCAATCCTCATCTTTAGTAAAACATATCAAATCCCTTTTAATTTATTAACCCGGGCATGAACCAAACATTTACAATGATCAGTTGAATTCAAATCACATGAACCAATTAACACACTTACCATAACTGAGACCTGTTCTGATAACAAACTTCCCCGCCTGTTTTAAAAGGGCTGCCCTCTGCTCCTCATCTATACACCAACAGCCGTTTCTGAACGCAGCATGCTCGCGCGCACTTTCTACCATAATAACTACTAGTCTACATGCAACATTTACCCTCTCATTCATATAACGGTAACAACAGAGACATTTCTGGCGACAGCTTTAGTCGGGGACAAGTGGTCCAAAACGGGGACTGTCCCTGGAAATCGGGGACTTCTGGTCTCCGTTGCTAACAGGTTTTCTCTTGTATGAAGAAGATCTTTTCACAGCCGATCACTGATCTTTATAAAGCCTAACATGACAATTCTGACGTTGACTGTTACAGATTTACTTACACTGTTAAGTTGTGAAAGGATCAAAGGAGTCCTTCAATATTTCCATCTTATCTCATTGGAGAACACTTAATACCAACGACATGATAAAAAAGTGCTAAACTGCCTCATAGGTTTAGAGCGGCTGCTTTTCAGACCTCTGCAGACGTGGATAAGATCGGTAGAAAGGATCAGTTTTACATCGAAGCATCGGGCGATCACTGATCTTCCCAAATTAAAGAAATCAAAACCATCAACTGAGCGACCGATTGGTGCCCCCTGAACAAATCTGCGCTATTTAAGATTCACAAACAGAACAACAAAGTCCATTCTGCATCCTTATGTAAATAACCTCGACCCGTTCATGCCTCCACTCTATTACTTCTCTTGCAAACACCAGTGAGGCTCTAATTAAAGTCGTAGGGAAGCAGCCGTTCCAACCGCTGCATTTCTGAATTATCCCGAGTGGTGCACGACTTTACATCTGTGAATAAAGTGAAAGTGATTGGTCGCTTATCAAGGGGGCGAGATTGTTGTGACGGAAGATTTGCCAGCTTTTTGCTTGTGGCCGGTGTCTTGGAAGCTTCTTGCTAACCAGTTAGTGCTAGTAGGTTCTCAATGGGAAATTCCATTGGTACCAAGTAGCACTAAATTGGTGACTTAGAAACAACACTGTCAAGGAACGCTATGCACAGAGGAAACATGCAAGAGGAGGAGAGTTTTGTGTCAGAGGTCGTGGATGAGTCTCCTCCGTCATCCATTTTTTATTTAGAGGAGGAAAGTGGGGATGAAGATGTTGTGGAGGAGGACGCCAGGGCGGCAGAAGCTTGGTTTGGTGTAGAAGGCTTACAGCCGTACATGTTTGAGCCCTTGCCTCGCAACGCTGCCAGCTCTGTTAGCTCTACGCCTGCTGAAGACACAGACGTCCATCCCCGTGAACACTGGGACGGAACTCAATGGGAAAGGAAAGGATTCTGATTTCAACCGATGCGTATATTAGCTGCGACAAATGAATCAAGATGCATGGACCGAAAAAATTTGATTGACAGATGACCGTTGATATATGATTGGCCGAATTTAGGTGTTCAAGCTGATGTAGAACTAACTGGCCTGATTAAGATAATGAAAAAAAATATAAATTTAGTCTGATAATGAGTACATTTATATACATGTTTAAGCCAGAATGATTTGACATTTAAATACGATTTCCCTACGGCTTTCAGAATGAACACCAGCTCCCTCTACTGGATGATGGCAACACTACAAAACCTAAAGAAAGCCCTTCTATCATCAGATAAAATAAATCTGAATCAAATAAACAATTAATCAACTATGAAAAAAGAACTTAAACCTCCACCATATGCAGTGTTGTTTTTTCTTCTTTTTAAGTCTAGGATGATTACTGACAATCTAACTGTATTAAAGTATTAGCTGAGCAGCAGTGAGAAAGATCCTCGTTTTTCTGTTTTAAATAAAAGAAAGCCTTTGGCGTTGGACCCTTGGGTTAGAGGAAAACCTATTCCTACTCAATTTAAATCAAACACAGACACTTATGTAACACTGCTGCATTCAGTCCAACCTAAATCAGCTAAATCTCTGCTAAGAACATCCAAACATAAGCTAATAATGAGAACCGTGTTCCTTTCTTTTCTAATGTGTGAATCGTTTTTAAGCCCCTCCTCCTTTCTGTATTCCTTCGCTCCGACTTGCAGCTGTGTTTAGTTTATCTGCAAGTCAGTTCTTATAGGTTTAAATCAACGATACTGATGATTTGTTTGGTTGGTTACAGCTGATTGAACTCTTTAAAGTAATGTGACAGTTGCTGAAGCCTCACATTGTTTCAGAAGCTGCTTTCATTCAGCAAACATTTTCAGTACTCGGATCAGATATCGGCTGAATGACGTCGATCCAGCCTTCTGATCCGCTCGTTTATTTTTTTATTTATGTCAAACACAACAACTCGGTTACAGCGAACTACGGCATGTTTAAGGCAGCTGTTATATTTTAGATTACATTGGCAAAAACCAGATACGAGTCCAGACTATTGATGATGTTTTTCACTTCATTAAAACCAGTCAGAGGAGCCTCGGGTTTTTCCTCCAAAGTTGAGGCATTACAGTGAAATGAAAGTTCAGGGAAAATCTGGTGACATCTTCTTTGGAAGCTCGTCGTAGGGGTTTACCCATAAATCCAGATAGTTTTTTCATTGGACAAATTAAAAGTGCTAAATGATGGATCGCTCAGTGAAGTCAGCTCTTAAATATTTTCTTAGACTGCCAGAAAACGAGGGGAGATGGGCGGAGGATGGAGCCAAGCAGAGCGGATTAGAGAAGCGCTGCAAAATAATTTGCTTCAACAACCTGGATGGAAAGGAAGTGATTGGATGGTGAGAAGAAGAAGAAGAAGAGGGCTTTATGAGAGAAAATGGTACAAAGGGCAGTAAGAGAAGTGAGGAAGAGGGGAGGGACTGCCCGAGCAACCGCATTCCTACACGTCACATTCCTCCTAACATCTGGCTGCAATACACAGGCTCCCTGTTACCGACCATCCCTCTCTGCCTTCCACAGACACAGAAGAGCCAAAGAACTCTGACCCACAAACGCACAGGAACACATGCGCTCACAGCGCAGAGCCCAGCTATGCACGTAAGCTCCCTAACGAGCTGGATCCCAGCAGCACGCTGAAGATCAAATGCTTTCCCTCTTCCTCCTGGGACCCTCATCCTCTCCTCTTGGTCTTATCAGGCTTCATTGGAGCCTTCCTCTGCCAGTCAGCACCGCTGCATGTTCCCATGCGCTCCGATCCTCAGCGGAGGGAAACCTGATCCCGATATTTACAGGCGTACACACATGTCCGCTCCCACACGGAGGAACAGGAAGTACAGGGAAGACAAAATCTGAAGACGTGTGTGGTCCGTCTGGAGGCATGCCTGGTCTCTCTGGAGGGATACAGGGGGGGGGGCTGTGAGACAGGTGGACAGGCCTACAGACACAGGAGTACTATCTACGCTTAGAGAAGCGCCCTGGCATGTGGAGGCGTCCGTCAAAAGCGGTCAGCCCCAAGCAACGCAGCGGGACGGTAGCAGGACGCAGCCTGAGGGGCTGCTGCTCTGACAGGCTGGTGTTTGTGTTGGAGTGTTTGCTCACTGTCAAAATGGTCGTGTCTCTGTGTGAAGGTGGATTGTAGGCCGGTGCTAAGCTTGGACACGGGAGCTTTGATCTCCGTCTGGCTCTGCTGGCTCAGCTTCTCCTCCATCTCCGCCGTGCAGCAGGAGAAACCCTGCGGACACACCTTCAGCGAGGCTCCTGTAACACAGCAGACACGGCAGGTTCAGTAAACATCAGTGGGACATCCACACAGGCAAATACAAACAATCACTATGTTTACAATCAGACTTAAGGGGGAAAACAATCATTTGTGAAGCAGGTGGAAAACCTAAAAGTTTTTTCTGCATTCACTTCAAATCTGTACTTTGAAGAAGCACCTTCTATTTATTTGTACCTGTACTTTTCAACAAACAAACTGAACTCAACTTTTAAGACTGAAGTCATGCTAAAGATTTTTAGGGGTTTCATCTTTAGTATCGTCTCCCTGCTGGAAGGAGACCCTCCAAACCAATCACAGGTCTTCAGCAGCACATTTTATTCTTTTTTCAAACCCTCCTTTTGAGGTTTTCACGATACTAGAATGTAAAACTGGATCTTAATACCCAGAAATTGATACTTGATTTCATTAATGATGCGATGGGATAAAAGAATAAAAAAAAAACAGTTAAAAGAATTAAGAATAATTAAACACAACCCCACCCATTTTCAATCCCAACATGCTTTCTCAAGCGATTGTACAAATACATCAATAAAAAAACAAAAAATAACATCACTGGACAATCATTTCAGGTTATCTGAGGTTTTATCTTATAAAGTTCAAATAATCCTGAAATCTACAATGAATAGAAAAAATATGCAAACTATGCTCCCCTTTGGAAATTGGTGTGATGCTGGTTGAAAAAGAAGAATTATGGGATTAAATTGGCCTGCATCTAAAATCTAAAAATGGTGCTTTGATCAGTTTCTGGTAAAGGTACCAATAATAATAATAATAATAATAAAAGCAATAATAATGCATGACTCATACCTGTTGTCATCTATTGTTGTGAATGAAACCACTTTTTTTTAACATTCCATGTAATAAGTATGTATTAAAAGCATCATTAATGCTGATATTATAAAGGGGCAATACCATAAACTCCACAATTTGTCGAGACGTCAAAAAAAAAAAGTATTGCATCAGAAAAGAAAAAGTTGTATTGTGACGTTATTAGATCTGAATACAGCGTTCTCAATTCAAGAGTTTGCAGAGGAAACCGGCTGCATTCTTAGAAAATGTGAGAATGTTTAACATCTTTCCACTCCGTCCACGACACATGGCTGTTTTTATCCCATTGTTGTGATTTAGCAGCTTCATTGACTTTTTTGTTTTAATTTTCTTAAGAAAAAATGTAATGTCAGTCAAATGACACCGTCTGCTATCAATAAAATTCAAAAAGTATGTCTTTTTCTTTAAAATCTTTGCCTTTCCCCCTGAAGCCTGCTTCACAAATGTCCACTGTTGTCGGTTCAGGGAATGTGTGGGCTCCTATCCATGATGATAATAAATTGAATTCAAATCTTCAATACATTAGCTCCCAACGGGGGTGGAAACCATCAAAACCTGTTTTTCCTTTCGCCGGAAATAAAAACTTTAAAGCTGCTTGTGGCCAAAACAAAGTCTTTTAAGTCAGGTTGAATAAAACAAACAGCTTCTCTCAGAACCGGTTTTGCTTCTCTGCATTAACGTTTCCGAAAATAATTTTCACATGAGGTGGCAGAAAATGAGAAGAGCTTTAAAATGATGGGTGGGACTCATGGTTCCTGTTCATCCCTGTTTTATGTCGTCAGGCGTAGCGTGAGAGCCGCTTGATTTCCAGACGTCGGCTCACATTGGAGGATATTACGCACTCGCTTTTGACTTCTCCGTAAAAAAAATATAAGTAGCCTAGAAAATATGTCTTATTATGAACCAATTCATGGTAAAATAAATATTACTGAATTTGTCCCAATGTGCCAAATGCACCGATTCCTTACATATAAACCTGTAAGATTAAGTAACCTCGTCCTATTTACAGACGTTTTCAACAACAGGAACAAATATAGTAAATAACTTGCATGCCCAAAAGAAAGGAAAGGAAAAAAACAAAACATTTTAAACATGTTTGAACTGCTGTGGTTTACATTGTGTAACAATCACAGTGTTGAGATGTTTATAACCAAAAACTAGAAGACCTGCACTTTAAAATGCATCCACTGGCAAGCATGTGGGATGGAAGGTGTATTTTTAATAGGCGAAGACATTTGGGTACGTCCAACCTGCCCAGTTTAAAATAAGGCAGGCGGTTAGGGTTAATGGATGTTAAGACTTTTCAAGAATGTAGAGGAAGCCTTCAATGATTTATACAATGAGAAAACAGAAAGAAACAGACAGAGAGAGAGAGAGACAGAGAGCCTCAATGGGCACAATTAGGTGAGAAATCCAGTCTTTAAAGCTCTAGGTGAGAGCTTTACCCTTTAGCAAATCAAACACACCTTAGCTGTTCAAACCCCCTCCTCTGCCCCTAATTGTAGCACTCAGCTGAGCAGCATTAAGCTGGCCACTTCACAGAGCAGGCCTCTTATCCGAGCTCTTCTCAGTCTTGATGGATAGTTTAGTGCAGAGGCTCTTTTCTGAGTGCTGCGTCCTTCTAAAACACACGTTTAAAGAGACCTGAGGATTACCTCTTCATCCACTTTGCAGGTGAGACCTCCTGCTTCAGCCTCGGGCATGTTAGATTATAACCGTGTAGCTTTAGCTTCCAACCATTTAAAAGCACAAGCAGGAATATCGAAAGGGTGATTTCCTAACAGGACATGGGTCATGGATTGTTAGTTCTTCTAATCTGCCTCTGTAAACAAAAAAACTTTGACTCTGCAGCAGAAATGCTCAAAGCAAATGTTTCCCCCCGGATCAACGATCTACATTCGGGGTTGACAAGCAGGAAAAGCCGGAGAGCGTTCAGCCTAAATCCTGACGAAAACCGGCTGCCAACTTTATGAGGAGTGGGTCTAACTCTGAATCAGAGAGGTTCAGGGGAGGACGGAGGCAGAGGCGCAGCTGGAATAATGTTTTGTTTTAGACGTAGCTGTTGGCATGTCAGAGAACACAGGGATCCTTTCAGTGCGTCTCAGCGTCGGCAGCCTGTTTGACTCTCTCTGCTGGCTTGTTCTCACTCGCCATCTGCAGAAGCATGCTGCTGAAACCTGACATTTAGACCGAAGGCTTTCTGACATTTTGCCACCGGAGCCCCATTTGATCTAGTTCTAGGTCAGGTTTATCTCCAAAGTCACATCAGTACTAGAGTGTAAATTGTATCTAGATGCGTGCTTCAGCCCTGCCCTACAGAAGTCATCATTGTGTCATATATATACACTACCGTTCAAAAGTTTGGGGTCACATTGAAATGTCCTTATTTTTGAAGGAAAAGCACTGTACTTTTCAATGAAGATAACTTCAAACTCGACAGTCTATTCTTGTTCTTAGAAATGAAGGCTATTCCATGCGAGAAATTGCTAAGAAATTGAAGATTTCCTACAACGGTATGTACTATTCCCTTCAGAGGACAGCACAAACGCGCTACTGCGGGTACTATTTAATGAAGATAACAGTTGGGGACCTGTGAGGCGTCCGTTTCTCAAACTACAAAATCTAATGCACTTATCTTCTTGCTCAGTTGTGCAACGCGGCCTCCCACTTCTTTTTCTACTCTGGTTAGAGCCTGTCTCTATACACTAGCAATGTATAGAGTGTAAGCAGAAGGGTGTATATCTTTAAAGTCAACTTTTTTTCCCCATGTAAACTATTACTAGTATACTTTTCTAGCATTTAAATGAGTTTTCTTTTTTTTTTTCTGCAATATTTGTCTCGAAATAGTCTTAGTGCTTCCAAAATCACTGATTCGGCACCCAGAGAAAAGCAGCTCGAACTGAAAAGGCTTTGGAAAGGTACCAGATCCACTCTGGTGCTGTACCTGGCGCTGCAGGCGCTCTGATTGGCTGAATGTTGTCAAGCTGTCATAAAGCATTGCGGCTGGTCAGAAAAAGAAATAACATATTGCAGTGTTCGTGTATCTGCAGCTCAATAAAGTTTAACTTGCTTTTTAACTAAATAACCACAGAAACCCTGTGTAGCATTAGCATAATTTAGCTTGCCGGCGGGTCAATTACCATAATCGAGCTGCACGACTTTTAACTTCCTGTTAACAAAAACTGATAAAGAAACATTTTGCAGAAAATATATTTTTTTACAATATATTTCATCTGTTCTACTCTTACATGGCTCAGCCAAGTCTGTTTTACAAAGCAGTACTTGCCTTTAGCAGCTTTATGTCCCCCAAAGCAAATATAATATAAAATAAAAAAATATTCAATGATAAAAGGATAAAATGAGACTCCAGAAGAGGTTTCATTCTTATGAAATGGGTGTTGCCGTATTTTGACAATTTTCTACCAGCTTGACTCTGCTCACTGTCCATGGTTCCATATAGCGAGGCGAGGCGAGACGAGGCTAGGCTAGCTTGCCCACAGCTTATGCTGACATTAGACTCACCCTTCAGGGTCTCTTGGTGCCGAAGCCTATGGTAGCATGTTTCCAAATTTGTCAGGGTGTTGTTATGCTTTGTTAAGCTTTGCTCCAAGTTTGCTCAAACACCATGTTTGTTTTCCCTCTTCATGACGTCACGTCAACAAGACATCAAGTCGCTCACAAGGGGATTCTACCAACCAGTCATGTGACATGTCACATGGAGGAGTTGGATTTTACTCTGCTATGTCAGCTTATTGGGAACAACAAAACAAACATACATACAACACGTCTTTTAGCTAAAACCATGTATTTATTCCTTCCACTTCACTACAATCTAAAAATCTCTGAACAAACTCGTCTTTGGCTGGAAGCTGAAATGATGTGAAGATGTATGGAGTGAACTTTATTCCAATAATGTTTAAAAAACACTTTTGAAAAATGGAGATAAAAAAAATGCAATTCTGAAATGAAACTTTGAAAAACATCTTAGGTGTTGAGAGTAACTTAATTTCTCTTTTTAGGACAGAGTTTGCATTTTACAGATCACACTCTTTTCACTTCTGGGGGCGGGCTTTACACTAAACTGAAGAGAAAAGATACATTCCTATTGGTTTGCACGAATGTTAGCGACAACATTTTTGAATGGTTGATG